GTCAAACAGATGTCATTGGTTTTTTTTTCATAGAAATCTATACTCGTCAAACCTGAAACACTCTTAGATCTTAATAGCAATTATATAATTGTTATTTTTAACATGTATAAATTTCTATTTTATACACTTCTGTTTTTAACAATGAAAAGTAACAATATTGTCATAGGTTGAACTATCTGATAATCTCATCAATGTGATCAAGCTGAGGTCTCAATTTCTCACAAAACAGGAATACTAAGTGAGTGGTGTGAAGGAAACAATTCAACAAAATAGTGTTGAAAATAGTCAAAAGAAAATAAGAAAACGATACATTCGTGTAGTATTCTCCGAATTCATTGAAATCGTCGCTATGAAGGACTTTCACAACATAGTGCCTGAAACACGAATGGTCCTATAGTGATGATATTAGAGAGAACTAGGATCCAGTGCTTCCTTCTTTAACCTTCCAATAATTCCTACACGAATGTATCCTTTTTTTCTAAGATGACTGGTCATTTTTAATCTTTTGAACCTACTGGCTGAGCTGGATTTAGGTTTGTGGGATTCTTAATCTTTTGAATCGATTGTGTGAAATGTCCCTTTACAGATTTGAATGTGGTTCTTCAAGATTCTCGATTGGATTGGCTGAGTTGTGATAAGTGGAATGTGGTTTTCCAGAATTATGTCTTGATTCAACGAAGGTACCCATTCGATGTCCCGATCCTTACTGAAGGGGTTTTCAGAATCGATAATCGCCACAACCAGGATAATAAGTTGTGGGCAGAGACGAATATACAACAAGTGATGTGGTCGTGGGGATGTATTTTAACGTTCGGATTGGTCGAGGAGAAGTTAATCATTATTGTGTTATGTTCTGTACAATATATCAACCTGCGTAGATTGCAATCAATTTCATAAAAATGACTACTCTTTGCCATAATTCTAGATTATCATTACATGTTTTGAGCTAGCAACTTATCTAAAGGATATTTGCTAATCCAAAGCTTCATTACAACATCATGTTCATCAAAAGAGAAGCAAATCATGCACTGGATGCATTAGCAAAAATGCAAGATCTATTTCTTAGGGTTATGTTGTCTATTGGAACACTATAATGTAATATGATCAAACTTCTTTGTAATATTCAGATTAATCTAATGAAATGTTGCCGATTAAAAAAAAAAATCATTGCATGTTGCCCTGAATTTCGTAAAAATGATTACTTTTTGTTTGTAACTCTAGATTATCACTAATTATTCATCTTGAAACAAAGATGGTACTATCCTTCAGTAACCAAGTATAATTTTTAGGGGTTTTTTGAAAAATACACCGATTAAGTTTGAGAATTTAAAAAATACACCTTATTTTTTTTTTTTTGAAAAATACCTCTTTTCATAGTTGAAAAGACTTTTTTATCCACATTTGATTTTAATACTAATTAGTTCATTTATATAATTATTATTAATATTAATTTTCGTTTTATTTAAGATAAAGTTGAATTATTGATAAAAAATTAGTTAATTCGTATATAAAATTATCACTAATATTTTTATTTTTATTTTGAGATAAAAATGTATGTTG